GGGAAGCCGCGGCCAGCACATCGCTCGCCCGCGCCGCTTCTCGCCATGCTCATTGGCGCGGGATGGCGAACCGCGGCCAGTGGGGGCCGCGATCAGCCGAACCTGCCGCGTCAGCAGGTAAATAAACTGGCCCGCCAGGGTGCTTGCCCGGCCCGCCAGGGTGCTTACCCTGGCGAGCCGCGTGCCAAACGTTGCCGACCCCTGCACTAGTGTGAGAACAGAACCAGACCTAACAAATATAGAAAGCTATTCCTGGATCTTTAGTAAAAGAGAAGTACTGCTTCTGTAGACAGGATAGTAATTAATCTGCATACACATTAGCAGAACATATTAGTCCTGATCCTCTGGAATGGTGTGCCTGCTGGTAGATCTTAGCCATAAAGACAACAAATCCAGCCATGGGAGGCTCATCCCACTGTAGGGGATCTTCTAGTGTTGTACAGCTACCCAATTTCTCTGCTCCTGGTATAAGGGGTACAGCTGAGGGAAATAAGCATGACTGGGACGTTCCTATGCCCTGTAGATCCTAGGCTGCCATACAGGAGCCAATAGCAGCTGGAGTTAAACTGCGGGATTGGCCTTGAATTTAGCCAGCCCAGGGTGGGGGAGAGCACATCCCCCTCCTGAGCTGCACTGCGTGCTCCATGGGTGTAGCCAAGAATCTGGGCTTTAGTATTTCCATCAAAGTCATATTCTAGGGTCCTGGCAAAGCCAATGATTTAGCTCATTGTCCTGTAAAGTTCAGTTTAGTTTAGCTTAGGAAAGCACTAACAGAAGAACTGCTATTTAGAGTGATATAACTCTCTTCCTCCATTCTCTTCACACGTGCTGTTTTGCTTTGTCATCACAATGTGCACATTAGAAATCTATTGTCATCCTGCTATTTTTCTGTCTGTCCCCTGCCTTTGTGCTTCACCATCTTGGAGTTATATTTCTTGCATTTATTTTCTCCCATTTCTTTTCTCTGCTGAAATCTTTTAGATTGTGTAACCCTTGGTTGTTTAGTTTTTGCAGTGTCCCTGATCTCCTTGTTAACTTACACATGGATCTCTGGGCCCTAACTATTGCATCAACCATTATGCAAATTTCTTTCCTAACCATGTGTTGCCACCCCTTTTCAAAGATACCTTTTGCTTTAGATAATTTTAGGTGATTCTTTTAACAAACACCAAACCAAAAACACTCTGGATGGCTTTACTTAAAAAATATCGTCCCCAACAGTTCCCTACAATTTCAAGGCATTCGATGAGCTAACATCCTCAGGTCAGGGACATACAGTTCTAATTTAACTGTAAATACACCTCTACCCCGATATAACGCGACCCAATATAACACGAATTCAGATATAACGCGGTAAAGCAGTGCTCCGGGGGGGCGGGGCTGCGCACTCTGGTGGATCAAAGCAAGTTCGATATAACGCGGTTTCACCTATAATGCGGTACGATTTTTTGGCTCCCGAGGACAGCGTTATATCGAGGTAGAGGTGTATGTAATAAACTCTGAATCAAACCATGTATTATATTAATACATCAAAAAGTCTTGTGGGCTATCTTTAGGGCTTTATCTTTTGGGGGCTCATTTTTGGGGGTTTATTTTTAACAATTTTTGAATTCTATGTACGTGTCCAAAAATCCAGGTTTTTGGGGCTCTTTTTGATATTGTAATGAGAATCTTTTTCAGGTACTTCCCAAAGGATCTATTTTCATTTTTATTATATGTATAAAAATGAATTAACCTTTGCATCCTTGTTATCTGGTTTAGCATTTAGTGTTTGTTCCCTGGTGCATTTTAACATAGTACTGTTTCAAGCAGCACTACGTTAGAGCACACTAGGGAACCTTTTGTGCACACCAGCAGAGTCTACACAAACCAATTAATATGTGCTTTAGAAATCACACCCCATGGTTTGCATTACTGCTCCAAGGAGACAGGCCCTTAAATACAAGCCAGGGAGCAGGGACATTGCCTATATAAACAAACTGCACAAGGGGTGAAATCAGCATGAATTGAGTAACTATTTCTGGGGGTTTTCTGGTATCTATTGGATAAACACTGATTTCCTTTACTTATTCATTTTATTTATTTTTTTAGTATCGGGGGATGGGGGTGGGTGGGTTAATCAGTGTTTATTGGTTAAAATCTTAAATCAGAAGCCTTAGCTATATTATACCTCTGCACCTTTCAATGTAAAGTTCTATGACACTTCTCACTACCCTGGCTATGACCTTATTACTAGCAATGCATGATGAGAATGTGGTGTTGTTTTAACTATGGGCCATATTCAGATGACTGTATATCCACTAACTTCAGTGGTGTTAAATGGGGGATGCATTTAGTCTACTAACTTTATGGGTTCTCTTTAAAAATGATTTTCTGTGCTCCGTCTGTGGTTCTTGAAGGATACACCTCTAATGGAAAATATCTTGAAAAGTCTTAGTCATCATCTCTCCTGTATAATTCCCTTATAAGTTTATCCCTTAAACCAAGACAAACTTAGACACATATATTGCTGTTAAAATGTACTTACTCCCATTGCTAGTTTTACAGATTTGACTCACATCTATCAGATTGGTCTGACTTTGCTTATCTACATCTGAAACAACTATTTCATTTCTCATACATTTTAAAAACTGTTCATTTTCAGAAAGTTACAGGAAGTGAAGACAGAAAAACATTTGCAATGTCAATGTCAAGAGTCCTGAGATCTGTTGCGGGCAGACAGCAGATTCCCCTTCCAGTTACATATGAGGTGCAAATCAGCCACCCTCTTTCTGAGGGAGAACTCACATTTTAATGCTCACTATGCAGATTTTTTTTATTCATATAAAATAGAATTTGGCCCTGGGCTTCTAGTGAGTTGGAACTTGTATACTTTTGATGTCTTTTTTAAGCCACATTGCTGAATGTAGGCCGTTGACTGGGAAGAGTTTACATGGCACTCAGGTGCTCTCGCTGAAAAACTCTGCATGTGGTGTAATAAGGAGCACAGAGAGGAGCTTTGTTTCCAGCTCAAAAAACCCACAGAAACCGCCAGCCACTCTAGTACAACAGCAGAACCTTACCGTAAATATGAAGGCTATTCAAAACCTGAAAATTTAACTCTTTATCTTGTAATAAGGCTTGGAAGGTTTTATTATGATGGAAACAATATTGTTCCATTTTATTAAATTAACAAAAAGTTTATATAAAAATAAACGCTATAATAATTTTTAAGTAATCATGTAATAATTGTATTTTACTTTAACTGCTGAGCAGAGAATTTTTTTTTTACATTTAAATTTGAACCTTAGTTATAAATCTGTCACTTTTTCTAAAAGAGCATTTTCTATTAGGCTTTTGCTATTGCAAACTTAGGAGCAAAGGTTTGATATACATTCTCATTTGCAGAGAGTTTTAAACATAGACAGAATGATATGATCTACATTTCTTGTTAACAGCATGAGTTATAAATTCACAGAAGCCTAAAGAACATTTTTGTGGCCATTGTGGTTACATACATCAGATTGTGGAACAGCCTTTATTGAAAATCCTATATCTTTGCCCAAAATGTTTGTCCGTCTAATATTATTATTTTGTTTTTTGTATTGTATATGCAGATATTTTGAAATGTTAGCATTTTGCTACTCTATATGTTTATGCATTTTATTAGACTCATTTGAAAATTTCAAAATGATGAATAAATTGCTACTCTGTTTGCTTTATCTGCTGTTGCAGCCTATGCCCAACAGATGTCACATATGAAATTCAAATTACATTTTCAAATGGAGCATGACTCAGTAATGAATAATTCAAGAGATATACTGAAAATTAGAATGCTGTTTTTAAACAGTGTGTTTCACAGGATAGACAGCATCAGTGGAAAAATACTCACCTATTTATCTGGCCATTTTCTACCTCTGTAAAATCATTTGAATCATTGCTGATGTTATCATCCTCAGGGACAGTCATATTCTGCAACTCAGTTAATTCTAATCCGCTTTTGAAAGGCATCCTGATCTAGGAAGTATAAGTATCCAAATGTTTATCCAAATAATAGTGTATATTTTGTAGGTAGACAGTAGCCACAACGTGAGCTTGACAAACCTAAAATGCAGTAAGAAAAACAAGATGTATGAAGTATTCTAATAAGATTACACTGAAATCTATACAAAAGAACGCCTTTATCAAGCAACCTCACGTCTGAAGGGACCAACCCAGATTATATCCCAAATGTACTGTACAGGTGGAGTAAAAGGCTCCTCCAGCTTAATTAGAAGAACACCTCCATTGCTTTATTTGTGCCAGGGCTCAGCCCAAGCACCTCTAGGCTTGGCAGTTCACAGCCCTGGCACCTCTGGACTTGCCGCATCAGTTATGAAAGTAAAAATTTTGGTTGAGTCCTGGCACCTAATTGCTTGAGCCCTGACACCTCTTTCATTACAAATTAAGCACTGAACACCTTTGTTTAAGTAACCATATTTTGTCAATCCCATGAGTAGCTATTTACGACAGGTTTGGCTGTGTTTACATTTATAAAATAGTGAACAAAATACTGTATATACTCGATCATAATCCGGTTCGTTTATAAGCCAACCTCCCTAAGATGGATAAGTAAAAAATGGAAAAATTTTTTGACCTGTTCATAAGCCGACCCTATAATTCAGGGGTCAACAAACTTTGGCTCCTGGGCCATCAGGATAAGCTGCTGGTGGGCCGAGATGGTTTATTTACCTTGAGCGTCCGCAGGCACAGAGGTAAACCTAAGTAAACAAAGTGTCCCAGCGTGCCAGCTGCTTACCCTGACGGGCTGGGACAGCAACTCGTGGGGAAATTTTTTTGGGGGGAGAAGCTGGAAGTCAGGGGACTGTGACCACCCTGCACATGACCCAACCCCTAGCCTGGGACCCCCACACTCTCCCCATCCCATCCCTTCCCACCTTATCTGGGGAGGGCCAGGGGAGGATGTCTCTGGCCTGGCTGGAGTTGCTCCGGCAGGCTAGGCAGCACAGCTGCAGTCTGCTCCGGCAGGCCAGACCGGGCGGCGCGGCCACAGCATGTTCCAGTGGGCTGGGTCAGGTGGCACGGCCGCAGCGTGTCTGGCAGGCCGGGCGGTGTGGCCACAGCCTGCTCTGGGGGGCGGGGCCGAGCGGCACGGCTGCAGCCTGCCAGCCCCAGAGCTGCAGCTGCTTCGGAGGCTGTGGGGAGAGCAGCGTGGCCAGAAGCGGAGAGACTCTGGCCCCACCTTTTCCCTTCTGGCTGTGCTGCCTCTCCTTGCTCCCTCTGTTGGGGGGAGGGGCTGTGTCCCACCTCTCCTTCCCTATACCCGTTCATAAGCCGACTCCCTTCTCTGGTGCTTCCCTTTTTTTACTAAAAAAATTTGGCTGATGAACGAGTATATACGGTAGTAACACACAACTTCAAAAAATAGGTTTACAACCTAGTAGTCAAGGAAAAAATTCTTAGTGTGTTAGTTTGAGCCCCAGCTAGTTGTCACGCCTTTGTGTTTTGTGTGTTTCTCAGGTTGTCTCTCTCCTGCTTTTAATATACATATAAAATGTCCCATTCAATATAATTTTCATTATTAGTCTCCACGTTAGTACCAAATGAAGGCAACACAGGGATATCATCATTGCAGTTTTCTTTTATGAAATAGCTTCATTCCAGTTATTTGAATACGCTACTATCCGGAGATAAAGATTCAGACCACAAACACTCCTCTGATTGAGAAACCGAATGCCTACATTCATGGACAGTCTGAAGAGAGAATAATGTGTGTCTTGTATCCAGCAATTGTTAAGCTATCAACTGTGAGAAATAAATTAGTCTCTCCCCTGGGAGAAGATGCAGCACCTGAGGCAACTAAAAATAACACCTGTGCGGAATTGGTCTAATCCACTACAATGAAATACATTTCCTCATCAGAAATGTGGATAATTTGAAAGGCCATACTTTCGCCTCTATGATTACGATTCATCACCCCAGGACCATATGTATTTGAGAATCAAAGAACTGTGGAACTCAACTGCCCCACAATCCCAACAAGCTTTTGAAGACGAAGTGTCATTAAGAAACAGTTTCTGTAAATGGCTGATGTGTGGTACAACTTCTCTAAACCCAGCAATTTTTCTGTAAGCAATTTTTCTGTAATGCGAGGTTTCCAAAACTTTAAGGGAGAGTTTGGGGTTACTGACCATACCGGACTAACCTCAGGATATTGGGGGAACTCTGAAGCCCTCAGAGCTGCCTCAAAAAAACCCAAAACTCAGAATATTCAGACGTAACTAAGGAAGCAGGGCTGTCCCTAGTTTTTGCAGGGCCTCACATATTCATGTAGAGTCCTATTTCAATTCCTGTCCAACTATGACTGCCTCCTATCTATATCAAATAAACAGTACAGAATCCAAAACTGCTGCTTACCCCACATCCTCATTGCATTTGAAAGCACTTAGCAGAGGTTAGCAGTTTCACTTTAAATAATCTCTCAAAATCTCTTCAAAGGTATAATAAAATCTTATATTGAGTTTCACATGTGTCATTAGACAGATAATTTTCTTATCCCTGGGGTTTGGAAAATCCACCTCTTGAATTTTCAAGAGCAAAGTTTAAGATTAAAAAAACCGAGTAATCCCCCTAATTCAAACAAACATCCTTGAAAAAGAGCACTTGAAAAAGTAAACAGGCCCAGCTGAAGTGGCTTTTGCTAATTCTAAAGAAAGACCCATTCATCCCATGACATACAATGACACGTTAAAAACAATTTAAACATGAATTAGGGCTACTTAATAAATACAGTGCGATCTACCTATAAAAATTCCTGATAAAAAGACTAAAGTCAAAAGTTTCAAAAATGGGTCCCTAAAGTTAGGCTCCTAAATGCATCTACACACAAAAGTTGTACTGCTTTAATTATTCTGGTATACTAACCCCTCAGTGTGGACCTAAAGTTATATCAGTACAAGCTACTTTAATACTGGTATAGCTATTACCATACAGAAAGTGGAATAAGCTATACCCGTATGAAAAACTTTTTATGAGTATAACTGCCTCCATGCTAGGGGCTGTATTGGTATAACAATCTCAATTAAAAAAAACAAACAAACAAAAACAAAAAACCCACACTCCTGAAAATACTGTTAGAAAGAAAGCACCTCAACTCCAGCTGAGTTGTTTTTTTAGGCCTGTCTACACAGGGAAATATACCAACATAATTATATCTCTAGATACACAGGTATCACTCACCCTGTGGACACTCTTATAATTATACTTGTATCTATCATAGGTACTTATATGGCCCCTGCCACCACAGTATCTGAGCACTTCACACTCCTTAATGGATTTAACCTCAAAACACCCCTTTGAGGCAGTACTATTATTCCCATTTTACAGATAAGGAACTGAGGTACACAGAGATTAAGTGACTTGCCTGTGGTCACCCATGAAATCGGTGGTTGAGCAGGGAATTGAACCAGAATCTTGCAAATCCGAGGGTGGTGCTCTTACCATTGAACCATCCTTCCTCTATTATAAAGTGGTTGTTCATAAATATTATAAATATGCCAATAAATTTCAATGTGTGTCAGTGCCAGTGTAGACACCCTGGTCGATTACAGTGCTGTGATTGGCCTCTGGGAGGTGTCCCATATTGCCTGTTCTTGCCTCTCTGGTCATCGGTTTGAACTCTACTGCCCTGCCCTAAGGTGACCAACTGTCATTCTCACCCCTTAAATTCCTTGGGAATTTTGAAAGTCCCCTTCCTGTTTGCTCGGTGACGCGTGCAATGGTCTCAGCGCATCTTTCCAGGTGGCCATGCCCGCTCCACGCACCAAGCGATCCCCCGCTTGAAGCAATGCCGAACTGCTAGACCTCATCAGCATTTGGGGAGAGACGGCTGTCCAGTCTCAGCTGCGCTCCAGACGTAGGAATTATGATACCTACGGATGTGTAACCCTTCTGCCCATCTAGTTGGCAGCAACAAGGGCCGGGTTCTGTATCTAGGGGTTCCGTTTCAATAACACAATGCAAAACCGGCTCGAGCCCCCACCCAGTGACCTGGGACAATTACATACCACCCCCCTGGGTACCTCTAAGAGGCAATACTTCCCCTCTCGCAAGCACGGAGTCTGAGTGTAGCAGAAAATGTTTAATAACATGAGGTAAACGACATCAGCATAAAATTGGAAAAAACACCACAAACAGGATTCACAACACAAACCATGAGCAAAACCCACCCCAGCAAATTGGGCTGTGTCCTTTCCCTTTGGTTCTTGAATCCAGCAAACCAAAAATCACCCAGAGTCCCCAAAGTCCGACACCCCCAAAGTCTCTTGGGTCCAGCAACCACCCAAAGTCCCAAAAGTCCAACAACCCCCAAAGTCTCTGTCCCTGGTCAGTGCAGTCCCAGAGTAAAAGGGGGGGGGCACGCAGGGTGTTAAGGGGCACCTTACGTGATCCGAGGCTGACCAGCCGTCTGTTTCTCCGTGGGGGTTCCGCCGCAGCCTTTACCACGAGCCAGTCCACTTTCCTGCCATCCCACAAGCTGCTCCGCTCCGCTCCGCTCCGCTCCGCTCACCGACCTGTGAGCCGTTCCAGCCGTCCCCGCAAACAGCTCCGCTCGCCGTTCCTTAGGCCACTCCAACCGGCCCCGCAAGGCTCCACGCCACTCGCTGCTCCTCCAGTCGTCCCCACAAATTGCTCTGCCAGCTGCTGAGCAATATAGCTTCAGGCTCCCCCACTAGTTAACACAGCACTCAGTGATTTCAGCTCTTAATAACATCAGCTCTTTTTGTGATTTCAGCTCATAGTATAGTAGGGGAGCCCCAGTGCTGGTGCACCATTGGCCCAAAGTGAATTCAGCTCCGCAGCCTGTAACTAGACTCCTAAGGGAATCAAAGTTAGCTCTGACATTCCACAGTGGAGAGAGGAGGTGGTGCAATTGGTGTTTCGGACCCTCAGAGGGGGCCCATACCATCAGGTACAAATACCTGTCCCCATCCTCTCTCAATTCACTGGGTTTTGTAACCCATGCCCCTTGTCAAGCAAGTGCTACTTAGGTAATGGTGAAGGACTCACTCAGTCCTTCTGTCATACAACAGTT